ATGCCCTGGCCCTCAGTTGAAAATGAGCCTTTAAATGAGTATCAGATATCGCATCTGGCCACAATGGCTTTCCCAACATTATTTCCAGATGGGAAAGGTGATCCTACTAATCAAGGACTTCTGAGAGATGTCCCTCTTCAGGAACGAATAAAGCATCTTCTAAAATTTGCTGAAATTATTGATGGTAAATGGGTATACCGTTTTGCTAACCACCCCAGATTTTCTTATTGGGCGTTTAATATGATTCAAAGAAAACGAATTTTACAACAAAGTGGAATATTCCTCAAACAGAACCCAGGTGAAGCTCATCTCACAATTGAAGAACTGCGTGAAATGGCTGCCAGTAACAATGCTAATGTATTTATGTCTAAAGTGTCGAGATATGTTGGCAATATTGCAGGTACTAATGCTTACTGGAATAGAGTAAGAGAGGAACTCAAAGCTATCATAACTAGTGTTGGAGCACCAACATTATTTTTCACTTTCTCCTCTGCAGATATGCATTGGCCTGAGTTACAAGCTTTATTTAAAGCTGATACTGACAATGAGTTAGGTGATTCTACCAGTGACGTAAGACGACAAAATGTGATCAACAATCCCCATGTTGTAGATTGGTTTTTCACAGAAAGATTAGAAAGCTTTGTAAAACACTGGCTTTACGATACACTTGGTGCAAAATGGCACTGGTTTCGATATGAATATCAAGGTAGAGGTAGTATCCATTGTCATGGTACTGCTAAACTAAATAATGACCCAGGTTTGTGTCAACTGACTCAGACTGCTTTGAAAGGTTTCTTAGCTCAAAAATTTAAAGATGAAAATGATTGTTCTGACACAACTGAACTAGACCAGGATATTGAAGCTGGTCAGAAAGCAGCTGACACAGTATGTCAGTATGTTGATTGGTTATTATCAACCGTCAATCCTAATCCACCAGATGAGGACATGTGGATAAGACCTGAGGTTCATCCATGTCAAAGAAGTCATAATGACATTCCAGAACATGAAAAACAATCAGATTATGTAGATCTTTTGAACATGGTTCAACGGCACACTCGTTGTAGTACAAGTTATTGTCTTAGAAAGAAGTCAAATGAAACAGAGTTGAAATGTAGATTTCACTTCCCTTTTGATATTTCTCCTAAGACAAAATTAGAATTTGAAAAAATTCACTCTTCAAGTGATAATGAGCATTATCGAGCTAAGATTGTGACTAAACGAAATGACTCTAGATTAAATAACCATCAACAACTTCAGCTCCAAGGATGGAGAGCTAACTGTGATATTCAAGTTGTTATTGATCACTATGCTTGTGTTGAATATCTCACAAAATATGCAGCTAAAGGTGAACCAAGATCACCTTTATTGAAACAGGCATTCAATTCTATTGTGCAAAATGTTGACAGTAATACTGACCCTCGTAGAGTTATTAAGAAGGTAGTTATGAAATCTCTTGGTGAAAGAGATTATGCAGCTCAAGAGACCATGCATCATTTGTTGTCTTTAAAACTCCACAGCTCATCCTTTAAAGTGATGCCAGTTAGTCTAAATGGTTCACGTAGAGTGCGTGATACTGCAAGTATTGACGAGGGTGAATCGTGCACCGATTATTCACTTCTTGATGTGTATGCTAATCGTGAACAATATGAGAGTTCACAAAATATAATAAATATGAACTTTGTTCAATTTGCTACAACATACAAAGTTAAAAAATTAATAAATAAATAATAAAGTAATAAATTTACGTGGTGTTTCCACAAACAAAAACAATTATATTTTATCGCCATGCAAACATTCAAAGAACTTAACATACAAAGTTGTTAACAATGAACTGACAAAATTATCAGAGAATATTATACCACGAATATTTCCAACATATTCTCCTAATCCCATAGGTCCAAATTTTGGCCTATATTGTAAATATCAACTTTTGAGGTATAAACCGTGGAGAACAACCCAAAACAATGCATGGGGTGACCAAGAACCAACTGACGAGGTTCTGATCAATTGTTGGCATGATTTTTTACAAACACCTTATGGGCAATCTAATGTCCCAGACTGGTTTGATAAATTACAAGCTGTCATTCAAATTCAAGAATCAGAAGATGAACCTTCTGAAGAACAGGAGACAACCCGAGAAGAGTGGATGATATTATCAGACCTCAACACTCCTTTTGACAACTCTGAACAAACACCAGAGTCCACATATGACTGGCATCTTGACAGAGCCAATTATTCTCAACAACAAATCCAAGAAATGCCAACATGGATAAAAACAAACAAAGAGGAATACACTATTGATGAGCAATATGATGTTGTTGACATCAACAGTTTTAGTGAAATGCAAAAATTTGCTTATGATATTGTTAAGTCTCATTTTGATGACATATCATCTGAGAAAGAGCCATTATGTCTCATTATAAATGGTGTTGCAGGAACTGGTAAAAGTTACCTTATTAATGCCATTAGAAATCTTTTGCAAAGTAAATGTGCTGTTGCTGCTACCACAGGTAAAGCAGCTTATAACATTAGAGGTGTAACTGTGCATTCTCTATTAAAGTTGCCTATAGGATCAAGAGGTAATAAAGACCTGACAGGACAAAGTTTGTGTAGGTTAAGAGAGTGTTAATAACATTGAATACATCATTATTGATGAATACTCCATGCTTGGCCAAGTTACTTTTGGTTGGATAGACAAGCGTTGCAAACAAGCAACTGGTTCTAATGACAAAGTATTTGGAGGAAAATCGTTAATTTTAACTGGTGATCCAGGTCAATTGCCACCAGTAGCAGATAAACCTCTTTACCATGCTAAACCATCAAACGCTGTTGGTGAACAAGGTCATCAAGCATATCATATGTTTGACAAAGTTGTTAAACTCACTGTAAATCAACGTGTGCAAGGTATGACATCTGAGCAAGTACAGTTCAGAGATTTGTTATTACGACTTCGCAAAGGTGATTCAACAGTTGATGACTGGAAATTACTTCTGACACGTCAACCATCGAATGTCACTAATCTATGTGACTTTGAAGATTCTACTAGACTTTTTTATAGTAATGAACAAGTTGCTAATTACAACCATGAGCAGCTAACAAAACTTGAGCATCCAATTGCTCACATTAATGCACGCCATTCATCAGCATTTGCCAAAAAGATATCCTCAGATGATATGTCTGGGTTAGAACCTGTTGTGTTTCTGGCAAAATGTGCTAGGGTCATGTTAACCATGAATTTGTGGTCAAGTGTTGGTCTCTGTAATGGGGCTACTGGGACAGTTGTTGATATTATCTATCAGAACAACCATCAACCACCTGACTTACCTATTGCAGTAATAGTAGAATTTGAAAACTATAGAGGACCTGTTTTTAATGAAAACCAACCATTGTGTATCCCAATATATCCAATTACTCTCACATCACAGACAGAAATAGGTTTCCATGAGAGGCAACAGTTACCTCTTAGGCTTGCGTGGGCTCTAACAATACACAAGAGCCAAGGACTTACACTTCCAAAAGCATGGATAGATATTAGCAAATCTGAAAGAACTGCTGGAGTTTCGTATGTTGCTATTAGCAGAATAAAATCACTTGCATCTTGTGTCATTGAGCCAATGACGTATGAACGATTAACGAGCTTGAAATCATCAGCTAACTTACAATATAGGCTTGAAGAAGAAAACAGGCTAGATCGGTTAGCACAAACTACTAGCAGTGCAGTTACTATTGAATAAGAGAACTATTGAATAAGAGAACTATTGAATAAGAGAACTATTGAGTTTGAATAAGAGAGGGATTTCATATATGGATCCCAGTTATATTTTGGTATGTAGTTTGACTATATACCCTTTTAAATAATTTAATTTATTATTATATAATAACTAATTTACTCCTTGTTATTACTGTATGTATGAAAATATTATGATTTGCAAGATGAAAAAATGGTAAGTTTTTTTGTTTGTTTAACCCCTGCCCCTGCCCTACTTTTATTTTCATTCATTTATGTGCTACTATGTTTATAAGTAAATATCTCATGCTGGTAATTATTTTTTCTATAGTTTTGCAATTCTGACGGATGTGAATGGTACCATCAGATGTTAACTGCTGGATGAAACCAAATGGTTGTTAAAGCCAAAATATAATATGGATATATTACATCGCATGAAAGTGGATGGAAGCTTCTGGATTAACAGAAATGAATTTCTATTAAAACAATAATGCTGAATTAGAAGATTGTATGGATATATTACATCTAATGCAATGGGATGGAATCTGCCATGTATTATTTTTGCCATACCTGTTTCCAATCTACCATATGGGTGTCAGGAACATTGTATTTGTGTGTCAAGATGTTACATATATACCTTCTGGACAATAACGATGGCCAACAATGGACACTACCTGTACATGCTAATAAATACGAAACATTTATATATTGGACAAAAAACCAATAGTAGGACTTGTTTACCAAATGGGAAATACGGTAGACAGTAGACTATCGTAACTTGGAAAGAATATGAAAACTTGCAACAATACATCAACAATCAACAGTCACATCACGTTAATTTAAAAGACATATTGTGTATATAATAATTATGTTCTTCTAGACGTTCAGACAAGTGAAGATGGTTTAAATTTAAAACATTGGTACCAACAATTGCGTGCATCATGTATACAGTAAATATGAAAATCCAAAGTACACTTTACTGTACATATAGTAATTATTGCATGTTGTAATTTCGATATTTTTTAAACAAAATAAATTCATACATACAGTATGTATAAGGCAATTTAAAAATTTAAATAAACGAAGTTGATTGGACATTGGTATAGTCAATCCCCCAGGGCTTTTCGCGTAAAGGCAGCACTTCCCTTGCGATAGTAACTTCTAGTTTATTACATAAATTATGCCTATAATAATATTACAAATACAACATTCTAAACTTTAGAAGACCAAACAAATTTGAATATATTTGCATTTTCCGCAATTTTTTTATTTTGGAGCCTTTTTCCCTCGCACTTGTTAGTCAGCGGCTGCCCCTTAAAATGATTATAAAATGGCGAAGCAATAAGGCATTTTCTGCGTTGTATTTGGCAACGTTTTGAGGTTTTTTCTACCCTAAACCGCTCGCAATGGCAGGAATTTCAGGTTTTATTTTGCTTCAAAACAGACAATTTGAAAGTATTGGGGCCGCTTAGCTAAAATCTCTGGTATTTTAAAACTTATACGCAATGGCAGATCGAACATCGTACAATAAGTGTCGACGTGTGGAAGTTGTCGGCAAACGTTTGCGACAACGCTATAATGGACTAAATGTGAGCGAGTAAGGAGGATTTGCTGAATTTAATATAAGCTTATATTGCGTGGAAATGTTTTGAATCGAGTTTATTCGGGCCGGCTAATGGCAAATCGTGAGACGTCAAAACCCTCGAGAGCTATATTTTCAAGTAGGTAATACTATTTGTAGACGTGTGGAACATGCAAATCGTTCCATATTTCATTGTGCGCATCGATTTTATATTGTCAGTAATAGAATACCGTATAATATCCGCCATCTTGGTTTCGTAAAATAAGTTCGTTGTGCGCATAAGAAATCGAATTAGCCGCCATTTTGTCCGTGATTTCTGGCCATGAGTTGCGATATTATTGCCCCATCCTTGACCTAAATATTTAATCTCTCAATTTCTACTGGGATATATGTTGATGATTGGAAAAGAGCTAGGGTAATACCTGTTTATAAAACAGAAGATAGAACGAAATGTGAAAACTATCGCCCGATATCTATTCTTCCCATTATCAGCAAATTATTTGAGAAAGAAGTATTTGGACAGCTCTATCAATATCTGATAGACAATTCTCTACTTTCACGTTTTCAATCGGGCTTCCGGCCCAAACATTCGACACTGTCCTTATTAATAGAAATGAGTGACAATTGGTTTGAAAATATAGATAATGGATCGGAGAAATAACCGGATTAATTTCAGTTGATATATTCTCACTGTAAATTAAAAAGGGCTGAAACGACCCCAAAAATGGGGCCAAAACGGTGACCGCAAAATAGATCTTTTTTGGGGGTTAAAATGGCACCTATAACAATGCCTAAGGGGTGATTTGGCCCTTCCAGTGTAAGGGCTGTTTCAGCTTTTAGTAGGAGCTGTTTTGGCAAAAGCAGGGGCTATTTCAACTTTCAATAGGGGCCAATTCAGAAAATTAGGGGGCTATTTTGGCATTTCAAGGAGTTAATTTGGCTCCCATTTGTGGTCATAATGAACCCCAAAAAGCGTTGATTTGGCTCGCTAAGCGGAGCTGTTTTGGCTACTGAGTTACAGAGTAGTTTCAGCCCCAATGAAGAGCTGCTTTAGAACCGAAGGAGCCGATATAGCTTTTCTAATGGTGTAGTTTTTTAGCACCCAAAGGGCCAATATGGTTCTATTTCTGAGCCATTATAGACCACAAGAAAGGCCATTTTAACCCCTACTTTTTAACCAGAGCTATTTTGGCCCTACCAGAAGAGCACAGTTTCAGCCCCAAAGAAGAGCTGCTTTAGAGCCGAAGGAGCTAATATAGCTTTTTTCATGGTGAAGTTTGTAGCACCCAAAGGGTCAATGTGAGATCAAGACCATTAAAGATCCAAAAGAAAAGCCAATTTAACCCCTACTTTGTTAACCGGAGCTGTTCTGGCCCTTTCAGAGGAGAGCTGTCTCAGCCCCAATGAAGAGGTGCTTTAGAACCGATTGAGCTGATATAGCTTTTTGGTGGTGCCGTTTTATATAGCATTTAAAGTCATGTGCATGATTTGGTTGCACTCTTGCATGTAGACGTATTCTACATGTATATAATGAATCAGGCAAAAATAATGGGGTTTATTTGGTCTTATTACAATTTCTCCAACAGACCAAGATTGGAATTAATTATTGTAATATAAGTTGAGATAAATAATGTTCCAATTTCTGTATTATAAACACAATAATATAACTAAAATTACAATATACATGCACAGTAGTCAGTATTATGTATCTCATCGAAATGTGGGAACCATCAAAAGATTCGTACATATATGCCATATGGCTCCGAAAGTTTACAATTCTAATTTTAAAGAGCAATCAACTTGTGATAGCAATAGCAGGCGCGGTTGTTAACGTGAACGCAATACGAATAATTTCTAATACATTACCACAGTTCGGTGAGATGTGAGACAATACACACATTCCATCAATAACATTAACTTGGGTTAGCATATGTCAACATAACTCTCAAAAAGTGTAAAATTACTGTAGTACTAATATTCATGAGTCATGACAAGTCATTGAAGAGGGCTGTGACCCTCATTAGTGAGCTTAAGCAAGTGACGTTTTTGACAACACTGACGGCATGAGCAACGTCAGAAGACTGGGTCAAGGACTGTGATTGGTGAAAAACGTCAACTTTACCTCCGGTCGACGTCCGTGTTGTCAAAAACGTCACTTGCTTAAACTCACTATTGGCAGTTGTATGCCATTTTCTGTGTTGGCCATGCACTACTATAGTCTGCAAGGCAGACAAGATGCTCTTCGTGTGGCAGTACTCAATATTGAAGATGTAAAAACTTGCCAATAAGGCGATAATTGCATCAAAACAACTGTTGCTTGTTATGGAACTTTCATCCTTTCCCTCGATAACGTATGATTGACAGTTTCTAGTCGTATTCTAGTTCGCTGCCAGCGGCCACAATATGGGTTGTGATAAGTTTGAAATTGTATCATTTGCATCTTTGGACTCCTACAAAAAAATACAATTAGAATGTATGCAATAATCCGCAATTACAGAGGGTTATAGGACACATAAGATATAAGGTCTCACCAAGAAACCCAATAATAAAGCTCTTACATACATCAGACACAAAATACCTGAAAAAGTATATCACACCCGACCCCTATAACCCTTCCAAAAGCATTAAGTATAACATACCAATATACAGTAATATTTTGAAATATCAAAATATATGCTGCCTCGCAACAAACTCTCCTAAAAATAAGCTCACTATAAGCACACAAATATTATTCAAATTTACAGTACACTGTATCATAAGAAAAATAAATACAAAATTGGAAACATAAATTTCCATAGCCTGGTACAAGTGATTCAGGGAGACTGCATAAAAACATAATACATGATATACATATAACTATACAATCTTATTTAACCCATTAAGCACCAGGGCTCTCCCCTTTACGAGTAGAATAGGCGTTCGACAGAGTAGAGTAATAAAGTTCAAAATCATTTTGTTTGAATTACTTCACCTATCTATTTGTTTAAAATAGTATGGTAGATTCTGTGGTATGAACACTTGCAAAATTACTCAAAAAAAATTAAAATATAATGTGACATTATGTTGTCTTGACAACACTTGACACAACGTGAGCCTGTGTTTAGTGCTGGCCAATTGCTAATAGTTCATGTTAAATCAATGTTTGGAAAATATAGGCTAGGGGTTGCTGCATGCATTTATTTCTAGTTAAATATTAAATTGGACATACTCATGTCACTAGTGGTATTCATTATATCTTGGTCAGACAAAACAAATTCCATATTTAAGAAGTTTGGCAACCCACAGGTTAAAATAGACATCTTGTGAATTATGTCACAAACGATTAATAAATTTTTGCTTCAGCAAGCAGATTCACCAGAAACATGTAACCTCATGAGTTCACACACCCCAAAACAATACTTTCCTAAAATGACAGCTTTACTTCATCATTTAATTTTATAACTGGACTTAGCTGATCTGTTCTTATAGTTTTTATATTTTTAGACTTTTCGTTATTCAAGTTTGAAACGAGACCAAGACTGGTAGCGTTTAATTTTGACAATTTAAGAGAATGTAGTTCTGCATTACTGTTTTTCTCTGTATCTCATCCTTAATAAGCCTACCATTTTTAAATTTCAAATGTACAATGTTCAGATACTTTGGGCTATTTATTGCCTCTTTCTTTCCTCCTCTATATATTAATAGTTTTTCTTTGGAAAATATCAGTAATCATATTTCTAATCTGTACAGTTCTGTTCCTACACAACATCTTTGCACCCACACATCGTGTTTAGGACTGAAGTTCCAGATCATGGAAATGCTCTGCCAACAGCCCTGCGGGTTCCCAAAGAGTGTATAGCCCATGTATATCATAGTACAAACCATAGAAAAAAAATTAAAACAATATATTTCCATTTCAAATGCTTTTTCATAATTAATGTACAATAACTTGGGAATTTTATGTAAAGTGCAATTCTACATTCTCTTCGATTGACTTGAATATGTTTTTGGCTAGCATTTATTTGATGTAGCTACAACAAATCCACTAAGTTTCAATGGACATAGTCACATAGCATCTCCCTATTTGAAATAAGCCATAAGGCATTATATTTGGTATTTTAATATCTTAATTATTACAGAAATGATTGCACAAGTCATGAGTTTTGACAAATGATCTATATTTTCAATATTAACCCCATTAAGCACCAGCGTTCTCCTCTCGAGACAGAGTAAAAAAAATAAAGTAGGCCGCAATGCGACTCAATGGGTTAACAACACACATGGGCAAATAGGCCAGTTAACCCATTAAGTACCGGTGCTCTCCCCTTAATGAGTGAAATTGTCTGGCGTTAGAAAGAGTAAAATAATAAATTAGGGCGCAATGCGACTCAATGGGTTAACTAGACACATGGGCAGATAGGCCAGTTAACACATTAAGCGCCAGCGCTCTGCCCTTAATGAGTAAAATTTCCTGCGATAGGCACAGTAAAATAATAAATT